AAAAATTGTATCTCTGTTCCAGAATATCTCTCCCCACAGTAGGGTCTTGATGGGGTTACAACATTTCAGGATATCCTATGAAAATGCAAACACCTCAAGAAAGTTCCTTTTATAACTCTGTGAGGTAGTATTTCGATAGGGATTCATTTTCCCATAGTGACAGGTGATCAAGGAGAAAAGTCAGCTAAGTATGTAAATAACAAGAAATAAAATGAGAAGATGATAAATGTCATAAACGGAGATGAAAGGGTGACAAACTGTATTTCCTTTAGAGTTGTACTGGGGTAGACCCTGTTTCTATTCCATCACCAGGTGCTCTGGAGTCCAGTAATATGAGTAAAGAGAATTCTTGGAAAGGTTTCCAACTTCTAAAAGAATTGGGAACTCATGTATTCCCAGTGCTGTATGGTATTAACAGTGAAAAGTTTCAATCTTACTAAGCACATTATGGGTTAAACTTAAGAAAATGCTCTAACACAACCATAAGAATAGTATGTTAAACAAATCAGAAACCAGGGTGGAACTACCCCCAAGAGGTAGCTGGGCATTGAGCCAGGGAACCTGTGGAGTAACCTGTCCTGTTGACCTTTTTCCAAGGTGGGAAGAGGGAGGAGCAGGAGCTTGAGGTGCTTGAGGATGAAGCCCAGCCAGCTTTGGTGGCAGACTCCAGCAGAGACCTAATGTACAAAGTAGAATTTCATATTCAACCTTTCCCTTCCCTTTCTCCCTAAGCTAACAATCAACATGTGTAACATATTAACATATCTGAGCATAACTATGCAGTCTTTTTATAACTGTTAAGTGAACATATTTGTCTTCTTTTTTCCCTAAAAATTTATTTGCCCAGTTAACAAAACCTCTTTTACTTAAAATGTTTTCATAAGCATTCTAAAGGCTCTGCATATTTCATTGTGTTGTGAGTGTAAGAAGAAGGATTAAAGTGTAGGGGAAATATGATGAGAGTTTGGATGTGATTACTTTCCTATTCTTATTTAATTATTTCAGTATATTAAAACTACTTTAGGTATTTTGACAAAAAGTCAGTGTAGCTCTTTATATCCACTCAAAAGAGAATAATTATCTCTCTATGTTTAGGCAGTTTTGAACTTGTACTTACAAATGTTGAATTTGGTCTTTGCTCTTTTGCAGGGGGTGGGAGGGGGGAAAAAGGTTTCTGTGTTTACCCACTGGATAAATATACCTGCAGGCAAAGCACCATTCAGTGCTTTAGTCCATAGACTTTCTGAACATCTGTCTTTGCTGCTACACAATACCCTTGTTAATCATCTCATTTTTCTGCTCAGGTGCCTCTTTTCTGATTCTAGAACATTATTTGGAAAACTAAATCATCCATAACCCAGTCAGGGAGAGGGGGAAAAGCCCCTGAGTGCTGAAAAATAAATGCCGTAAAATGCATGCACTGGAAATTTCTTCTTATGAGAGTATCTGCTCAGCCTCTATACAATTCTAGCAAGTTTACCTATCTAATTTCCCAATTCAGATAATTTAAAAGTAAATTAAAGTGAGGTTACTGTGGCTACAGCTTACTATTATTATTACTATTGATCTATTGGGTGATACTAGTTGCTAGACACTGTACTAAGTGACACTTTTTCACTAAGTGAAATAATGCATTATTTCACTACATCTTTGCAATGACTCGATAAAGTTAAGTAAAATAGCTCAATTTTACAGTTTTATAACCAGTTTGAGACTAACTTTTAAAGGACTAAGTAATTTGCCAAATTTGTTTATACTTCATATAGAAAGGTATATAGGTAACAGGTGTGAAGGGCTATATGCCAGCCTGATAGCAAAATGGTAGAAAAAAATACAAAGGAAAAATAAATTACAAGAAGTTGGAAAGCAAAGCAATCTGGAGGTATTTAATTTGGAGACAGGCCACTTTATACCTACCTCTCAGTAGCTTTCGGAAGGCAACACTGTGTTACAGCACAGTAAAGGAACTGGTTTGTGTAAGTATGAACCCAAACCATTAAAAAATCAATTATGTTCAAAATCATCTACTTTGGAATGGTAAAAGAAGTGTAATGCGTGCTATAAAAATTTCTCTCATTTTATAATTCGTAAGGTAAATATCAACTCTGTGTTTTGGAGTCTCAAAAGGAAGGCTTCAATTATCTGGAAAATTCACATACATAGAACATGTTGTTTCCTGATAATGGTGGTATTTTTATATGTAGTGTGTTTCTAAAGAATAAAACATTAAAAAAGAGGAAAGGAATATAACTTAAGTTGCAAAATACTTTCCTTTTCTTTTCAAAGCCTCTACATTCAGCTCCAGCTAGTCCAGTCTGTCAACTTGCTGTGGTTTGGGCATATGCCATCACCAGGGTTTATCCTATTATGCTGACTAATGTGGAACTGACCATTTTTAAAGGAGACTTGGGACCATGACTGACTTGATATGTGATTTGAACTGGCCAAAGACAATCCTCAACCCCATTCCTTACTAAGATTAAAATAGCTGTCCCTGAGCCTTACCTAAAATTGCCATGTGGCACATGCCCAGGGTGTGACTGTGATTTGTCATGAGAACTGAAGGTGAGATCTTGAGCAAAGTCACTTCTCAAGTGGCCAGCCCTTAGTGGCTACCTGAGTGTTGCCTAGAGCACCTGGGTGGCTCAAAGAAGGATGAGAACCAAGATGCACAGAAGGAGCCAGGGTCCCTGCAAGACTGTTGCAAGTACCCTTCAACAAAGTTGGCCTCCTCCACAGCCTTATCCTATTATACCTTGCCTAGATCTGTCCATGGTAAAGTTTCCACAAAAACATTGCATGGAGGGACTCTAGGGACTAAGTACATGGGTGGGGGGAAGGCTGAAGGGCTTCAGGCTGCTCTCTGAATGAGAATTAAACAAACATCCCAGTGTGGACAGAGTGAGGGGAGGTTACATGAGACAGACATAAAAAATAAAGTCCCAAACCACTGTGGTCATTCAGAAATGTTTGCAACTTTTCACAAGGGCAATGGTATTACTCCCAATTTCCTGGCCAAATATTTATTAATGTAACCAAGGACTGAGTACATGAGGCTGCCTCACATCGGCACAGCATCCTACTTTCCTTGCAGCTCTAAACTGTGAGGTACTGTCAAAAAAAAAAAAAACTTCCACACTCAAAATAGCTAAGTTACAGAGGAGAGTTGGAACGTGTTCTCGGGAGTGGGTGTGTTTGTTTGAGTTCAGTGTGTGCAGAAAAGGCAAGCCTCCACAGCCATTCACACACTTCCCTCCTCAGCGATGGGTATGCAGACAGCCAAGCTCCTGGACTAAGTTTCTGAATGGTAATGTACCTTTATAAAAGTTATTTTCTTAACTATTTTGAGCCATTTTATAAATATCATGCATGTGTCTGCTGAGCGCATATACACATGTATACTTAGTCAACTTTTGCTTGTTTTCTTCTGAGGCTGGTCTTGTGCGGTTACTTATGTGGTACAATTTCTGAGGTGTCAGAAAGAGCTCCCCCTTACTTCCTACCCCAGCCACCCAAAAATATCTCTTGGGCTGGCCCACCACAGAGCCTAAAATCCCCACATTGCTCAAACATTTGAGTTAGTCATTGAATGCAGCTGTTAAAATCCAAGTGTTACATTGGGATTATTAGGCAGACAGAAATTAAAGACTACGTAAAAATAGAAAATAATATAGAGAAGTTGATTCTAATATAATGTTAAGTTTCAATAGAAGAATGCAAAATCACATGCAGTCTGGGTCAAATGCTGTTCATAAAATGTCATGGGGTCAGAGCCAGCATACATGACCCAAGTGGTGAATATGAGCTTATAGTAAAAGAAATTCAGCAGTGTTGGTCATGTTTTGTTCTTATTTATTTTGAATGACTTCTTTCCAAAATTTCTGATCCTCAGATCCCACTCTCTTCACAGTGTATCTGATACTTCCCTTTGCTGATCTCTGGAGGCTCCCAGTAACCTCCTGGTAATCAAACTTGGCAGGGCTCAAATCCCCACCTCCTGGAAAATTTAAGGAGCTTGACATCTGCCTGTGAGGAGCTTTTACAAAGACCTCACAAGAACCCAAACAATCTCTCTTGGCAGCAAACTGCCAAACCGAGCCCATTTCCTCAAAAGATGGTGGAGGACTTAGCGGCCTCCTATATTGCTCTGAAATTGGAAAATGAAATTCTGCAGGCCCAAGTGCAGAGGCTGATGGAAGAAAATGCTGCCCTCCAGGCCCAAATCCCAGAGCTCCAGAAGCCCCAAGCAGCCATGGAGGATGAACGACTCCAGAAGCCCTCAGAGGCCCAGGAGCCTCCCAAGCCCAAAGAGTCCCTGGATCCTCCAGAGTTTGGGGAGCCCCAGAAGTCCAGAGAACCCCAGGAGCTCCAAGCCTGGGGGCCTTCAGCATCCCAGGAGCCCCAGGTGACCCCAATAGCCCAGGAGACCGAGAAGTCTTTAAAGCCTGCAGCAGCCCCAGAGTCCCTGGAGCTCCCAGCAACCCAGGAGCCCCAGGCACTTCCAATGGTCCATGGGTTCCCAGCAGCCTGGAATTTCCAAAAGCCTCCGGAAGCTAAAGCGTCCCAGAATACCCCAGTGGCTCAGGAGACCCACAAGGCCCCAGAAATCAAGGAGGCTCAGAAGTCCCCTGATACACAGGATGCCCCAGAGGCCCAGGAGCCCCAGAATTCAGAGCTCCAGGATCCCCCAAATGCCCAGGAGCTCCAGGAGGCACCAGAATGCCAGGAAACCTCAATACACCTAAAACCTCTTGAGCATCTGGAGTTTCAAGTACCCCAGGAGACCCTGGATCCTTCAAATGCCCATGAGTTACTAGAGCTCTCAGCACCCCAAGACTCCCTGGAGGACCAAATCATTATTGAGACATCAGCAGCTTCAGAGTTCCCACAGTCCCCCAGTGGGTTAGAGGCTGAAGCTCTCCCCTTAGAATACCCTTTCGCCTTCAACAGGGATGCCCAGAAGCTTCCTGAGTTCCTGGTTCAACTGAATAGTTACATGAGAGTCAGAGGGCACCTGTATCCCACTGAAGCAGCCCTGGTGAGCTTCGTTGGCAACTGCTTCTCAGGTGAGACAGGAAGGTGGTTCCAGCCCTTAGTAGATATGCAAAGCCCCCTGCTGGAGCAATTTGAAAGTTTCATACAAGTGCTCCGGGATGCTTTTGACAACCCAGAAAACATGGAAGATGCCAACTACCACATCCGTCAGCTCTGCCAAGGGGAGGACCTGGTCTACCAGTATGCGACCCACTTCTACCTCATTGCTCAAGATCTAAACTGGAATGAAAGCACTCTCTGCATCCAATTTCAGGAAGGGCTTGCCAGTTCTATCCCAAATGAATTGTCTCACACAAGCCCAGCCACCAACCTATGTGATCTGATCACCCAGTGCATCAGCCTAGAACAGAAGCTAAGTGGTAAGCCTGATCCAAATTCACAAGGGGCAAGTTCCTCTGAGGAGAGAGCTGGGCCTGAGAGTCCTTCAGCTGAAAACCAGCCTGTGCAGGCTGCAAGCAATCATCCACACCTCAGTGAAGCTGAATGGGCCCGCCGCCGTGAAGGCCACTTGTGCCTCTACTGTGGTCATCCTGGTCATTTTGCCAGAGATTGCCCTGTCAAGCCTCATCATGCCCAGCAGGCGGGAAACATCGAGGCCCGGCGGTAAGGGGGAATCCGGGCGGGCCAATCTATAAATATGCATCCCCCTCACTTCCAATATCCATGTCCCGTACCCTATGGCTTACTGTTGAAATTCGACTGGGAAGACGACAATTCTTTGAGCAAGCAATGGTGGATTCAGGCTCCTACAGAAACAGCATTGACCATTCTGTGGTCCTTCGAGAGAAGCTGCCTATCCGCAATAACATCTTCCCTCTGATGCTCGAAACAGTAGATGGCCGTCCACTGATTAATGGACCCATAACCAAGGAAACACCACCTGTTGAAGTTAAAATTGGAAACCACATTGAAGAGATCCAGTTTGATATCATTCATGCACCAAGATACCCTCTGATTCTTGGAATTCACTGGCTTGAAACACATGACCCAAATATTGAGTGGAGTAGCCGCACTGTGTCCTTTCCATCTCGTTATTGTCACAACAATTGCTTCAAGCACAGGTGGAATAGAAGACGTCATGATGCAATAATTGCTGGGTAGATCCTTTGTCCTAGTGACTGCTCCTGGCAACCTGTCTTCTGTTACCTCAGCTGTCATCAGCATTTGCTGCTTCCAAAATTTTCCACTGAATCTCTGGCAATGAACTAAGGCTACCTGTACAATGACCTTGCCTCTTGGATCATGGACTGAACCTGATGACTTTGAGCTGTCATTTTTTCACTAACCCTGCATGCCCTTTTCTTTCAACCCTACATTAATGGTGGGGCTGTTTTAATTACAAATTATACTCACAATATGCATGAGAATAGATATTAGAAACTAACATTGAAAAAGTGTAGTTGTTAGGCTTACTTGATTTTTTTTCTTATCAATGTTTTCTCTATCACAAAAATTGCAACATCTTTTCAATAAAGAATATAAATTTGCAAGTGATATTTTTTAAATCAATAAACATTGGCAATTTCTACTGGTGCTTGAATTATTTCTTGGCTTATCAGAGGGAAGAGGATAAGGGACAAGTTGTGAGGAATAAAGGGGATTGGAAAAGGCTAAAAGTTTGGGTGGGGTCCTGAATATTCCAGAGGTAGATAGATCAGTGGGTGATGGGGTAGGTGGAGATGGAGAGAATAGGGGAATGTTTGGGTCAGAGGGAGATTGAGTGAAGTATGGAGGGATTAGGGGAGGGTAGAGGGAAGGCTGAGAAGATGGTTTGTGGGAGATTGGTAGGAGGGTGGAAAGGGTTCAAAGGAAGGCTAGGGGTGCTGAGGGCAGGGCTGAGGGGAGGGAGAAATTCTTAAAAAAATAAAGTGAGCACTAACAGAGACATTGAGCGGCTTTGAAAGCAAACTTACTGGACTTTAAACGTTAACCAAAGAAAGACACTGGAGAAAGTAATGAGGCCACTCAGTGACCCAGCTTTCCCACTAAGTGACAAGGTCTTATTTCCTTCACCAGGGAAATTTTCCCTACAGCTCATGCCTATTAATCTGCTCTTGCCAGTGCACAGAAGTGGGGTGTAAGGAATCAACTTTCAACACATGAAGATAATTAGTAGCCAACTGTACCTCCCCTGCATATACAAATTGCCCTGCTCTGCTTGCCATGCTCCTTGCACGACACAAAGAGAGAGCCAAGTCAAGGAAAGAAATGTATGTCCTGATGGACCTAAGAGGGGCTAGTGTAGTATCCTGACTTAAATCACAGACACCCCCCCACACACACACACACACACAGACACACACACGGTAGTGGGGGAAGAGGCCAAGATCACCAGATGAGATATGAGGAGTGATCAAAACAGACTCTAATGTATTTCATCTCTGTTTTCAACTCCTCTTTAGGAGTCTCTTTCTGAGGCCACTTGAGGGAGACCCTACCTCTTAGCTGGACAAATAATCAAATTCATGATCATAACCCTAGTAGAAAATATTACCATTTATTGAGTCACTAGTATATTCCAGCTACAGTGTCAGGCATGTTATACACATTAATTATTTTACTATTCCTCAGAACAACCCAGTGAAATAGGTATGTTTGTTCCCATTTTAACAATGAGCAAACAGGTTCCCAGCAAGCGTAGTTCACTTGCCCAAAACCACAAAGCTAGTAAGTGGTGGAGGTCTGCTTGGCCTCCAAAGCCTGTGTCCTTTCCCCTACAGCATGCCAATGTCAATAATGCAGTGGTAAGGGCCAAACAAGACTGTGACAACAGAGAGCTAAGTGTGATAACCTTAAAAGAGAGGGAAAAACTTAGAAGAAAATTTGCAACCATTTGGATCATAATTCTGTTTTGCCAGTTCCCTTGATCTTATTTATCCCCACCACCCTCACTGCCTCACTTACCCCCAAATTTACCTTTTCTAGGAGGATTTCCTTTTGTTTATTAATGGCACAGCCCCCTTTAAGATGCCATGTTATTTCTTCAAGGGCGTTGGAAGTCCATTAGCAATCAGTTAAGTGTAGGATGTGTGCATTATCTAGCAGCATGTGCTCTACCCCTGGGGTTGTCTGCCTGCCACTTCCATAGCCAATCCAAATCCTATGCAGACTTAAATCCTACCTCTTCTAGTCCTCATTCGCTTCCCCTTCTTTCCCTGAACAGTCTAACACATTTTGCTATTATACACCACCTTGTGGTATGTGGATACTTTTCCCTAGATAGATGTCCTACGTTCCCTCTACCCTACTCCTACATACAAATACTTAGGCTGGGTACACAGATAGAATCTTCTATGTCTGTACCCTTGACAGCATAACCTAACATAGTGCCTGTTACATAAAAGTTCTTCTCCACAGCTACTAGTTCAATGACAGTGAATTATGATTACCCAGAGCAGGGTGCTTATTTGTACATTGTGAGCTCTTCTTGATTTTTCTCCTTCTCAATTTCTTTTCTCTACCCCCCAAGACCAAGCATTATTCGTCAATGTGGAATTGACAAAAGTTTTAAGCAGCTACAAAGAAAAAAATACCTTTTATTTGCCAAACTACCTGGAGCTAACAAGACTAACTGTAGATTTCCCCTGGAATGGAGAAGATTCATGGGGCACATGGCTTTCTGTCTTAAAGCTGGTGCAATTCTGGGAAAACTGGGATGGTTGGTCAAATACCCAGACCTTACATTTTTCTATGTGAATATAGGAATTTATTTATCTACAGTACAATTCTTTATTTCATGAAAAGGATCAATTATCTAATCTAGGATCACAGAATTTGTGAGATTTCAATGACTCAAGATGTCTTATTCCTTAATTTCACAAATGAAGGAGCTGAGTAGGCCTAGTAAAAGGAATGCTATTTAATGTATGTTATGCTAGTCTCCTGACTCCAAATCCAGTGTTCTTTTCACCATAAGCCACTATTCTAACCCAGTAATTAAAAATCAAGTATGTGGCCAGCACTGATCTAAGTGCTGCAGACAGTGTCTAAAGTATTATATAACATGAAAAGTTTAAAATGTGCTCAAGGACAAAAAAAATTAGCAGCCATTAGACAGCTAGCATAGATAATCAAATGTGTGATGGTAACAAATATACCAAACTGAAATATTGCACAAACTGATAAAGCCAACAGTAATAACTACCATTTAATGAACACCTGGCTTTTGCCAGATACTGGGCTAGGTGATTCGGGTCTTCACAACTGTCTTCAAGGTAGATATTATTAGCCCCATAATATAAATCAAAGAAGTGAAGCCCACTGAGATGAGGTCGCTTGCCAAAGGTCACACTGCTAAGAATTGGTGAATGCTACAATAAACCTGATCTTCCTCACTCCAAAGCTGGAGTTCTATCCAATAAAACACACTGATTTTCAGTTTGAATGACATTTTACTATTTATTAAATATTTTAACAATATTTATTCACTTGACTTGAGTTTTATTACCTTAGATAAAGATATCAATTAGTTAATGCATTCATTTATTTATTCACTCAACAAGCATTTATTGAATGCCTTCTATGGCACAGGCATGGTGGAAGAGGAAAAGAGGTACAAAGATTTCTAAAATATGACTCATGGTTCTTGCTCTGGCCACAATTTAATGTGGAAAATGTTGTGTAACACAGTACTGTGGTATACAGAGGAGAGAGCACTAATTCTTCTATGGACTGAAAAAGTGTGTTTTGAGCTGGGTCTCGAAGGAATCTCATTGGAAACAAGAGGGAGGGCAGGGCTTTATAGAATAAGTAGAGTATACACACATTAGGAAGCTAGAGAGAAAAAGCATGGTGTCTTTAAAAAATATAGCTCTATTTCACTGGTGAGTAGGGGTGTATGCATGTGTGTTTAGGGGGGAGGCATGTTGGTGGAGAGATGAAACTTACAAGAAGTTGGAAGTCTCGGGTTAAAGACCCCATCTACTAAACTAAGGCATTCAACCTTTATCCTGTGGGAAATTTGAACTGAAAACTTTGTTGTCTTTTTTCTTTTTTCCTGTGTTAGATATGGGTGTGTTTTTGCTCTCTTGTTACAAGGTAATGCATACTCATTGCAAAACTCATATATATCAAAGGTTTAGAACATAAAAACAAAGATTCCCCTTCCTTACTGCCCCTTATCTCACAAATTAGAAGCTTTTTAGGTAGGAAAGAAACATTAGATTATATTTTAAATTTTTTTATAGTGATGTTGAAATTGTTACCAAAGAAAGTAAAAAAGTGCCCTGATTTTTTTTTTTTACTTTCTTAGGTTTTATAAAGATGGGTTCAAACCATCAAAGGCAATGAATTAAAAGAAAATTAAGCCCCATTTCCCTCAAATGTCTGAGTTTTTACTATGAGTAAGACACTGAAGTATGCACAAATATGTACAAGACAATATTCCTTCCATCAAAAAATGTATAATCTAATAACAGATAAAGGCTCATGAATTATAAGAAGTGATTTTCCATTTTGGCCTTTTCATTTTCAAATTTTAAAGACTACATGGAGAGATTTTCTGAATATATATATTCAGCAGTATTTGGCACAGATAAAAAGAAAACAGTTCCCTCTTTAGCTAACTTTTCAAAGTTAGAACTTTAACAGGAAAAATGATCTCTATAT